TTTCAATTAGAAAAATTGAAGAAGATGAGTTTTTAAATATGGATAAAGAACTGAGGTTATTCTTGTATTTGAATTGACTTTATCATTAATACTAAGTATTAAACCATATACAGTCAACTCTTGATATAGCGAACTCTTGATATAACGAATTTTTTGAACAAATATAATAAAAATACTCTTATTATAGCGAATTGGCCAATCAAATCTCTTAAAATCTTCACTATTGCCTTATAGTGAAGTTGAGATCTAAGATATAGAGTTCGTTATAACAAGAGTTGACTATAATTCTCTTTAAATAAATTCTAAAAATCCTGAAATGATTATAATTTGAAAAAAATATGAAATTAATGATAAAGGTAGAAATAAAATTGAAGCAAGTTGAATTACTTTGAAATTTCTTATAAGGCAGTTTTATTAATATAAATCAAATATATATTAGTATAATAATGATAATATAAACTAGTATATTATTCTAATAAATAGTATAATTATAAATGTAAAATACATGCACTTTGTGATTAATATAATTACTATTCAATAATTATTAATTATTGTATCTTTTTTAAAACTATTTAATATATTATGAGTATAAAAGTAATTGAATTTATTTTCATATTTTATAATTTCAATAATTACAGATTTTTGGATTTTACTATCATCATCTTCCATAGTTCATTAAAAAAATATAAAACATGATTATGATTAAAGATGATGCCTCAATTAATTACAACAGATGACAAATAAGTATTATAATATTACAACGAATTGCAACATTATTAAAATTTAAGTTGTAACAGGTGATAAATAAGTGTTATAATGTTGCAACGCCATCTTTAATTATGATTCTTTTTTTCTACTTCACTATAAGAAAATGCCAATAATCTAATATTATGATGTATATCTATAAATTCAGATATATGATATATAAGTATATATATGTATAGTATTAAATCTGCTGATCTATAAAGTTTATGAATAAATTCTGAAGAATTTATGTTACCATGAGATCTAATTAAAAAATGTTTTAATTATTGATATACCTTTTGATGAAATTGATTACCAGATATATTTAAATTATATATATTATTATATAAATCAATAAAACTATCCCACAACTTTCTAATTATAGTAGCCCTTTGAGGTTCAAATATAATATTTAAATTAAAATTTTGTAAAACTTTAATTTGTCATTACCTGTTAATGATGTAAATTGCTAGGTTTTGGTTTCTTGATTTTCTCAAAAATTGAATTTAACATGAATGTGACATATTTCAGAAGTAATTACTTGATATACTTGATTATTAAAAGATTATGTATTATATAATTCACTTAAAATAAGAGTCCATAATCAGTCAAAAATCTGTAACATTAAGTGAAATTCATCTATAACCCAGTTATAAATAGGAATCATTGGAAATAATGGAGAATATTTATGCCTAGATATAGACTTGTAGTTTTGATTAATTTCTTTCATATTTTTGCTGATACACTAATAATCTTGTCGTTCACCATTTATTTCTAATATACCATTTTAGAATTTATCAATTAAACACTAAAGATAAAAATTTATGTAATTGTAGCTTTATGTTCTAAGTAAAGACTAAGAAATTTCTAATCAGCAGAAAAATATAATTTTATATTTTATTGATATTTATCTCTATCAGTAAATCCATTTTTAATATTATTTAAATCTGCTATTAATGATGTTAATGTAATTTTTAATGTATCATAGCTTTTAGCTTCAGGATAAATAATTAATGCAAAATGAGAATCAGATTTAAAAATATTCATTTTATTCAAGATAGTAAAAATTACTATTACTTATTTAACTTTATGTTCAATATTTCTACTATCTTCAGAAATACAAATATAAAGTGTAGATTCTAAATAATTAAGTATTTTCTTTTTAATCATTGATGGTATAATAAACTTTAAAACATCTTTAATTGAGCACCTTGCTTCTTTTTTTAATAAGCTTTCAATTTCTCTAATAATTACAGGATCTGTAATGTGCATTTCAAGATCATTATTTAATTGATTTTTAGATAAAGATTGTAATTCAATTGGATGAATTGGAATTTTTTCATTTATAATTTTATTTATTTGATATAGTCTTTTAGAAATAGCTTCTTCACATGGTAAATCTTAACTTATAGTTGTTAAGGCCTAATAAGTTGATTTTAAAATTAGATTATAGTCTATAATTTATATTATAGCTAGCTGACGACTCATTTTATCATCTTCTTTAGATTGATATATAATTCAAAATTTTAAGTCATTTACTTTAAATACTAGTTCATTAATAACTACTTCATCTTTAAAGTTAAAATGTTGTTCTACTTGATTCTTAAAGCTAGTTAAAATATTAATATCAAAGTTTTATTTCGTATGATTTGCATTTGATTTGTTATTTCAGAAAATGGTTTGATATTTTTTTACCATTACGAATTGATTTGATTTGTAATAATTATAATCTAAATAGATATATTCCATCTATCTTACTATTTGAAATTAGATCTTGAAACTAATTAAAAATAATTAGTAAGAATTTATTTAATTAAATAATAAATAATTTACATTAAATAGTTACATTTAGATTTTTGATTCTTTTTTTATTGAATACTTTTTGTTATAAGCTTTTAAATAAAAATTTGCTACAGCAGTTAGCGAAAAATCTAAATATATACATTCATGGCTAAATTTAATCTTGTATAGAGGCTTTTCATTATAATAATTTATAAAATAAGTAACAGTTTTCTTATTCTTTTCATAAATTGTTTCTACAATATAATTCTCAAGAATTAGATAATGATTTAGCATTCTAGTATATGTAAGGTAAGGTGGATAAATATCTTCTTCTATAATATAATATTGAAAACTTCTTATTTGTAATTTCTATATAATAGTATGATTCATAGGGTAATTTGAAACTTCTTCACCTATTTCCTTCATTTTATATATTTATGTAAGTTAATTTAATAAATAGAAAGAACAAAATATTTTATTTATATAAGAGTTTAATAAAAGTATGAAAGTTTAATTAGTATCATGTGCAGATCAATTAAATTGACTAAGCTTTATTACAATAATCAAATTTTGGGATATTTTATAAATCTGCTATGATGATATCTTTTTAATATATTATCCATTTGAATTCTAATAAGTATTCATAAACTTATAATAAACTGTATTCTGTAAGTATAAATATTATTGGATTTCCTAATCTATTTTCACTTTTAAATTAAGAATAACAAACTCAATATCAGTAATTCTTTTAATAATTATTCTATTAGTATTATATATATTATTATAATTTTCTATTATCAATGCTAAATTTAAATCTATAAAGATAAAGCTAAAAACTTTTTAAAAAGTTTTTTGATTTTTTTTATAGTTTTAAAATATAATAGTTAAACTATGAGCTCTTAGATAAGCTTTATATATTTTCTTTTATTATCAAAAAGTGTAATAATATCATCATAAAATAAATTTCTAAATATTTTAAAGATTTTATAGTAGAACCTGATTAGGATATCTGATTAACCTTTTAGATTTATAATGGTAAATTTTTGCATAATTAATAACATCAACATGATCAAACTCAGTATAAGTGTTAGGTGCTATTTTTTAAAGAATTTTAATATTAGCACTTCTTGATTCAAATATTAAAGAAAATAAAAACTTATTAAATAAACCAAAAATTTTCAGTTTTTATAAACTATTCAGTTTTAGTTTAACTTACTATTCAAATACTTAGTAGCATTATCTAACTCAGAGAATGATAAGAGTAGATGTCAGATTTTTGATAATTGAAGTAAAAATAAGATAGTAAGGAAAATGGATTAATTATGAAAATTAATTATAGATAATAACAGTATACTAAATTATTACTCAGATAAATAATAAAATGAAATAAATAGGAAATAATTTTTTTATTTATTTTTTTTATGCAATTTGTTTATTACACCAAAATTCATTAAGACATTCTGCAATTTCGTTACTTGTTTTCATTTGTCATCTTTATCTACTTTTAACTTTTTCTTTTCTTTTTCTAATATTTCTCTCAGATTTTCCCACCCTTTCCTCTGCATCTTATTTCTTTCTTCAACTTCTTTACCAATTCTCATATTCTCTTTTCTTTCTATACCTCTTTGAATTCCTTCAAATTCTCTACTGCTTCTTCATAATATTCTTCTGATTTATTTAATTGTTATTTAATTTCTTCAATGGTTATCATTAAAATAGGCATCGCAATTAAAAAAAATGGTGCAATTGAGTTGCAATAAATTTCTTATGATGCAATTAAGTTGCAACTCAATTGAAATTTGAAAATAATTATGGGAACTATCTTTAGTCATCATTTTTAAAATAAAAAGTTTTAAAATTAGTTTTTTATAAAATTTTTTTTTATTGATTTAGCAAAGTTCTTTCAATAAGAATTTACTATAAAAATCAAAATTTTTTTTTTTTTAAAAAATCTTAACCTTTTATTAGGGAAGGTTTGCTTATAAAGTTTCTTTAACGGTTTGTAAATTTTTATGTTTCATTAAGAGCCGATTCGTAAAAAAACTTTAATTTAATCTTTAAATGAAATTATTGTTAGATTTTGGTATGGTACATACATATTACACTTAAATTACAAGTTAAAATGTTTATTATGATCGAAAAAGATTAACGATATAGCCAATGATTTTGCAATATTCTTTTATTGTTACCAACCACTATTAAAAAAAAAAATATTTTAAAGCTCGGAAAACGGACAAAAGAGTCACGTGTAGATCATTTTTATAGTAACATGAATTTTGCGTAACCGCCTTCTTCATAAAAATCTATCTATATTTGATTATCGATCATCTACAAACAACATTCCCGATATTTAAGATATTAAATTTTAGATTTTATACCAAATTTAGTAAATCAAGATATCTCGTAATGCATAAATATTTGGTATATAACAAAGCAATTTTTTTTGATCCTTCACTCATTAAATTTTATTCATAATGGTTAATAATATATATTTATATTCTTTATTTTTATAGATCTCGTTCCTTTATTGAAGTTTCATTAACTAAAATTACTGTTTGTTTTTATGTAGACACATCATCAAAACTCTCAAGGAATCCAAACATTGTTGGAAGCTGAAAAGAATGCTGCAAGAATCGTTCAAAAAGCTAGAGCATGTAAAGTTATTTAAGTCATTTATATCACTCCCTTTACCAAAATAAAAATTTTTAATTTTTTTTTTATCTTTTTTTTTTTTCATAACAGATCGTGTTCAAAGGTTGAAAGATGCTAGAACTGAAGCAGCAAGAGAGATTGAAGAATTAAAGGAACAAAAAAATTTGGAATTTCAAGATTTTGAAGCTGAAGTAAATTTAAATAATTCTACTTGTTTACAGTTTTAAATACAAATTTTATTTTGATATTAATGTGAATAAATGTATATTTTTAGCATGTTGGATCTTCGGATCAATCTTCTGTTAAAGTTGCATCAGAGACAGAAGAAAAACTAAAAGCAGTTCAAAAGGCTTTTAACGAAAGTAAAGATTCTGTCATAGATAAATTATTATCTGCTGTTACTAATGTTGAACCAAAGGTTCATATTAATGTTACAGTTCGGCAATGATTTTAGAATGATCAATACGATGTGGGGCTTAAATTATTTTCCATTTGTCATAAATCATACTACATTATTTATTATATTACTTAGTACCGTATTTATCGTTATAGCAAAAACAAATTTTGAACCATTGAACCATTGCTTTTGTAGAAATATTTTTCTTCTTTGATCACCTACAGTAATAATCATATTATCAATGAACTTTGCACAAATAAAATTTTATTAATTTTTTTTCATTATGTCGTTTAATAAAAAGCTTTTGAAACTTTTATTTATAATGCAGTATAAAATAAATAACTAATGCTTTCGCCATTATGAGTTCTCCTAATTGCTTCAGCTAAAGTAGCCGAGACATCAATTATTACAATCTTTGTGCTTTGACATCTCTTCTCGTGTGGAATTGGAAATGTATTTGTAATTACCAGCTATAAAAAGAAAAGTAAAATCGTCAATATTGCATACAATCAAGAAATACATGAGTAGGTAATTCTAACCTGATGTATGCTCTTGCAACGCTCTATCTCTTTGATGCTATCACCACTTAAAATTCCATGAGTAGCAATTACGTAAACACGTTTTGCGTTACACTTTTTCATCAAATGTTCTGCGGCTGCTATAAACGAACCTGACTTGTCGACCATATCATCCTATACATAAACAAATAATCTTTATCGAAAAAAATTTTTTTTTTAAAGTATGAAATACTTTGAATGATTCTATTTAATCACTTACGACTATAAAGACAACTTTTCCAGCAACGTCGCCTACAAGTGTTATAGTACTACTAGTTTCTTCATCTATCGATTCTTTTGACAAAGGAACATCATCGTCATTTACATCATCGAGTTTTCCATCAACAATTGATGTGGTAAGATTAGTTGTCATATTTGACGTATGAAAAACATTATCATGATTACTAGAAGAAGTAGAAGAAAGGGTTGATATTTCGGTTACTTGATTCCCAACTGATTGGTGAGAACCTCGTGTACATTCAGTATGAATGAGCGCAAAATCAATTTTGAGACGATCGGCAAGAGACGTTACTCTAATGAATTAATTAAGAAACGAATAAGATCGTGTCAATATGAAAGAAATGCGTAAAACGTGTGATTAATGTACCTTTTTGCACCGCCAGCATTTTTACTCACGACTACGCCATTATTGTATTCAGGAACAGAATCTTGAATCCATTTAGCGATACTTGGTTCAGCGTATAAATTATCAACTGGCTTATTGAAAAAGCCCTGCATTTGTGACGCGTGAAGATCCATCGTGATAATGTGATCTACACCAGCGACCGAAAGCAAATTGGCCACCACTGAATAAATCAAAATCAATAAATTGTTAGATTAAATAACATATTTCTTTAATTCAAAATAAATGATATTTACTCTTTGCCGTTATGGCTCCACGATATTTTTTCTTTTTGCTTTGTTTCGAATATGGGAAATAAGGCATAACAGCTAAATAAATAAATAAATAAAGTGAGAGATATATAGTTATGGATAAATCACAAAATACGATTAAATTTAACCAAGGATAAGTGAATTACCAGTGATTCGACTTGCTGATGAGCCTTTGCATGCTGAAATCATAATTAATAATTCCATAAGATGGTCATTAATATTATTTGAACCAGATTGAATAATGTAAACATCTTCATTACGAACGGAGCACCCTGAATTATCCGTCGATAAAAATAAAGTTACATCAGATTCAATGTTAAGTAATATCAAATCGAAGTTATTGGTAAATGCAGGTTAGCATTTCCAAACCTTATAAGAAAATGTGTAATGATACTTACCAATTTCAACTGAGGTTTCTTGATTACTAAATTTCTTTAAAGTAACAGGAGCGGGAGGTATTCCTAACTTTTCGCATATAAAATCCGCAAGTTCAGGGTGTGAAGAACCAGAAAATACTTTTGCACGTCTCATTTTCTTTATTATAAAAAATAAAAATTTGTAAACACTAAATTGAAAATGAAATGATTTACGATAAAATGGTTGATGTTAAATGAACGAACGTTACACGATCTTGGAATTTTTTTTTATATAGCGCGTCGAATTCGCATTGTATATTTAATTTAATATATATATATATATAAAAAAAAAATATGGTCAATAAAATTCTTTTAATTAAAAACCATTCACATTTTACATCATATTTATTTAAATCAAAATGTTTATTTCCTACAACGAATTTATTATATCAAACACGATTATTAACAAATGTTACCGATACTTCAACAATGAAACCTTTAAAAAAAATTGCAGCACATAAAAATCCAAAATTAAATTTAGAAAATCGAATGTCGATTTATGTTGGACCTTTATCTTATCATGTTAGAAGATATAAAAGATTAGCTCTGCTATTTTGTACTTGTGGTTTTTTACTTATACCTTCTATTTATATTTATGGAAAAGCACCTATCGTTGGTGCAGCCGGAGGTACGTATTATCAATTTCCATGACGCGCATATATTATCATATTTTAATTGTAAATGTCCTCTTTCAACTTGATAGCTGGAATATCAGCGATAGTTCCATTATGTTTCATAAATTACTTAAGTGCAACATATGTATCTCGTATATTCATTTATCTTCCTCCACAACGTCGTTATGAGCCTTCTTTGAGAAAATCATTTAATCCGTATACCTTACATTCTTCAGGAGATCCTTATCTTACAGTAGAAACTTTTGATTGGTTAGGAGGAATAGAAGAAACCACTCTTAGATTATCCGAGTTAAAAGAAATTCAAAATAAGGGACTTCAATGGGTGACTTGGATAAGGCGAGGAGAAAATAATAAAGATAGAAAAAAATTTTATGTAGAGAAAAAAATCTTGAAACAAGATGTTTTTTCTAAAGGATTACTTGAATGGATCGAAAAACAAAGTGGGTTGGAACAAATTCAAGGATCAAGCATTGATAAGAAATAAAAAATTTCAGTCTTTTAAATCAGTTTAAGAATAAGTTATCATATTAAATTTTATTGAGGGTGTCACATTTATTAGAAAATAATTTTTATATGTTTCATATGAAGGAAAAATAATTAATTCAAATCATTCTTCAATAAAAATTTGAGCTTTTTATTTCCCCCCTCACTAATATTACAATATTAAATGAATTTCTTATTTCAATGGAATAAAACGTGAAGAATGAGTTGCACCGATACCTATAGAATAACATATTTGTTAATTGGTATCAATGTGATGGAGATATGATGATAATAGTACCGTATACGTTTACTTACCAGGACGACCGTGTTTAACAGGTTTATATGAGATGGAGAATTCCGCGAGATAATGGCCGATCATTTCAGGCTATCGCGTTCAAAGAAAATAAAAATTAATAAATAAAAAAAAATAGAAATCTGATCTTTGGTAAATTTTCCTTCAGATTCCTCACCTTAATTTCAACTTGATTAAAAGTTTTTCCATTATAAACACCAATAACAGAACCAATCATTTCAGGCACAATTATCATATCACGTAAGTGAGTTTTAACAACCGAAGGTTTTTCATTTGGAGGAGCTTCCTTTTTAGCTTTACGTAATTTTTTAATTAAGCTCATTGGTTTACGTTTGAGCCCACGTTGAAATCTACGTCTTGCTCTACAATGAACCAAATCCATCAATTGATCACTAGTCAAGTCTAATAATTGATCAAGATCAACTCCTCTATAAGAGTACTTTCTAAAAGTTCTCTTCTTTTTCAATTCGGCGGCAGCTGCAGCATCGTATTCGTCAGCCTAAAAGATGAAAAAAGATAATGGATTTGAAATTTTATAATCTTATTATATAATTGAATTAATAAATTTTTCTGAGAAAAGTTCATTTTTGTCCAGAATTTTGCTATTGTTCGATTTCATTTTTTTTTTTTTTTTCCTTTTCATTAAGCCATCCATATTAAAACTTTCAACAAAAGATTCAATTACAACTCCAAATCTAAAAAAATATTGTCAAAACTTTACCATATTTCGCTTTTTTTGTTGTGAAAAAAATAATCGATCCAAAAAAAAAAATTTTATTATATACATCATTCCTATATGTTACACCAATTGTCACCAATCAAAGATGTTGAGTAAAAACGGGTGATTTTTTTTAGAAAAAAATTAAGATCGAATTCAATTGCGAGTTTCCCTATATGTACTTCGGAATTATTGTTTTTTGTTGAGATGATATAAAAATGCTAACATAATTTGAAAACTTATCCAACAAAAGATTTCAGGGAAATGCATATCGCGTAGTTATAAATAAAAGCATTTTCTTTATACAACAAAAAAAAAAAAAAAGTTTCAATTCTTCCCATTTTGTAAGTGATGATATCGTAGATATTAAAACAGATAACGAACCACCTCTACTATTTATCATGAGTGAGGTTGCTAGGGATATTATTCACGTAATTAATGCAGATCGTTAGTTAGTGAACATATAAAAAAAACCTCATTATATTAACTTGGTAAATTTATTCACGTGTTTTTAGATTTTGAATAGAAAATTAATAAAAAAATCATTTGGCTTAATAAAAGTTTTAATTTAACACTAACATGGCATTTTTTAAAACTACTCTGTCATTTTATATTTATTGGCGCAGCGTTATCGCGGATTTTAATAGAAACTTTATTTACATTATAATAATTTAAAAAAAAAATCATGGAAACACTATTTAATATACATATATTTTATCTATTACATTAATAATAATTGCTACTACCGTAATTATACGAATACAATTGTACAACTCATACGACAAGACCAAAGATCAGAAAGCAATAAATAAAATCAACTTACGACGGTAGTGACTTGTTGAATCGAGAAGCCAGAACGATTATTGATCCGAAAGAGTAGTGCAGCAGAGAATTGATAGAATCTATCACACCTGGATGATAGATTTTGAAAATTTCAAAATCAGATCACACACATAGCGAAGGCAAAGATAAACTCCAAACTATTTGAAGGCCAAATCCAAATCAAAAGAAAAAAATTTTCTTCTGATTAGACGC